AAAAAAAAAAAAAAAAAAAAAGTACTAAATCTCGAATCTGTATATATAGTAGTATATGGTTTTCTGTTTGTACCGACTTGTAAAACAGAGACGAAAAAGATAACAAAAGTTGACTTACTAGCATATATATTTTAAGTTATAACTAACATGGTACACGTAAAGATGTTTGGGAGATAGAGAGCTAGCTACAAGTCAAACGATATGAACAAGAGAAAACAACCGAACCTAAAGCTTGATGGTCCATTATCCGACATATGGGACGTTACGAACCGTAGATGTATCCTTTTCTTCCTGATATCTATGTTTGTGGCTCTTATTTTTTTCTTACTTTAAACATTTTCTTATTTTATTTCTAGAAATTTCGGGTCCAGCTTCTTGCTACTTGGAACCTTTAGTTTCAACTTTCAAATAAGAAAATCTAAGATGGGACTTTAGATGATGGATAATATTTTTTCCACAAAGTTATTTACGAAAAAATGACAAACGAGGCCAAGAAACCCATTGTCAAGCCCAGTAATCTATCCAATAGGTGAAGACAAACGAGGCCAAAACGTAGAGTTGATAACCTAAAAGCCCCAGTTTACTGGCCATTGTGTCGATGTATGATGATGTATCAATCAAAATCATTATCACCCAATTTACTTACGGATTCCAAATTATTAGGGAACCGAAGAAAGCTAAGCCTGTAGTCTTCTTCTAGTACTGTAGCATATGTCAATATTACCGACATATCACCACAATACCTTTTTCTCTCCTTACTTTCTGTATATCGTCAACCTCTAAGATTATTATTGTGTAATGTTTGACAATTCATTATTAGACTAGAACTGATTACTAATATATTTCTCATGATCTTTTCAAATACGAGGTCGAACCAGATTACACTCTTCCAATGATCTACTAATGTCTCGATTTCGTCAAATAAATAAGAGATGTTCCAACATGTACATTTTTCAAAGAGAAAATACAGTACCTTGACTGTACAAGACCTAGTTCAATGATTAACTATTTTCATAGTTCTAATCGTTATTTTCTATACTTCTTTATGGTTTATTTGCTTAACTATAAAATATAAAAATGGCATTAAAAATATATGCACTGTTTTAAATTTTTACGATTTATTGGATTTAGAAAGTTATACAAATTACAATGATTAAATAATTTACAAGAAAAAGGAAGCAATTAGGCCAACTGCTCCATGCTAAAATGGGGATGAATGATGAGTTTAGTGGACCCTGTGAATATACAATAATATAGCAAGACCCATATCCTCTCAATCTGAATATCCAATTGTTCCATATCTATAAGTTCTTTCCCTGGTTCGGCGTACTATTATTGCTTTGACTTTGATGATCATCCATTTACATTTTGTGAACGGATTATTATTAAATGGTATTATGGTAGTACTTAAACAAAAAATACCAATATAAGGAAATGTTATTACAACAACATAAAAAAGGAAATGTTATAACTTTTCCTTTTTATTTAAGACTCATGGATTGTATGTAATCTGCATGAACGCATGGAGACTTCATGACAAAGTGATTTGCATTGATTCTCTGGTAAAAAAGTGATTGAAAGGTTTCTTTTTGAAATTTAAAGAAAATGGAAAAGTCTAAAAGCTTAACAAAGGAATCTCTCTCGTCCTCCACTAGTTCATTACTTTTTGTAATACTCCCACAAGGAAAGTACAAAGAAAAACGAAGATTTTTTTGTAGTATATTGGTATATTAACCATTACTATTAAGTATTAACACGTAATTGTTTGCTCCATTAAATTATTTGATATACTTTTACGTCGAGGTTATGCTGTAATTTTAGTCATTATGTAATTTGTGTGTGTGTTTTGAATTCGGATACGTGAAGTATTGCTTTATAAAAGGTGAAAAGATAAGCAATTAGACACACGTGCTAGGCTGCTAGTGCCCGACATTCTTCAACCGAGGCAAACCAACTCGTCAAACCCTGCCTGTCCAAAGCTGATCCTCTAATTATTAAATTACTTATTTTAATGAGAAGATCAAAAGCTTTATCGACAGATAAAGATGAACCAAGAAAAACACGAAGCAATTAAGCTAACTCAATATATTGAGATTATAAAAGATAACTAATAAATTCATTCACTGTTTTAGTTCACGATAGACTGGGGATCCAATGCGAATCAGAGAATAAATCCATCGACTTCTTGGTCATTTATCAAATCATTAGTAGAGCTGTTGCTTTTGGTAAACTGTAATTATGAGTTTTTTCTATCTAGAATTAGTGGTGTTTAATTATAATCATTGCGTCTATATTTTACTAATAGATTACGTAGTCAGCTGATTCTTTTTGCAAAAAACTTGCTACGTCAGGAGTGTGAGTTCACAACTAACAATGAACATTAAACTCGTTAATTACTTAATTCATAGACGAAGTCGAGCAATAAAACATATATTATATATTTTTCTTTAACACTAAGAAGTTCCAAACTACAATGAAACCTCTATAAATTAATAGTGTTGAAATTACACTAAAATTTTATTTTTTATTAGTTTAGAAAGATATTAATTTATCGATATACTAATCGAACCAAAAACTTAATTTAGAACTATAAAATTATATTATTTTATAGAGATATTCAGTGTATATTAATTTATCGAGTATTAATTTATAAAGATTTTACTATATACTTAAATGAAATCCATATCTAGTTTTAAAATTATTTAATTTCTGAAAAAATTATATTCTCTCTGTTTTTTAAATGACGTTTAACAATTTTCACATACAATAACCATTCTAATCTTTTCAATACTTATTTTACTCAAAATCATTATTACAACATATCATAATATAAGAGTAAATGAAGTCATATTTTGTTATTATTTACCTAGATTTTTGGAAACATGTATTTTAGAACCAAATGGAAATGCTAAATCGTCATTAGGAATGGAGGGAGTAGAGTTTAATTGGAAATGTTACTATATACTTGTACTTCTTTAAAATATTATCTGCTCTATTTCAAATAATCTATTTTAAAGTTTTACATGTCAATTAAGTAATTGTGAATTTTTAAAAAAATTATTTTGTTTGCATAAAACAATAATAACTACAGTCAATTCAATTAAAAATCATACTGCATAATATAAATGATCTAAAACTTAAAATTACATTTATTTTTCGCATAAGAACTTAAAAACATTTGTTAAACCGAAACAAAACAAAAATCCTAAAACATCACTTAAATTGAAGAATGGAGCATCAGCATATTATGCTATTCGATTGATCATTTCAGCTCTAGTTAATTACCACATGTTCCCCTATCAATCTAAACTCATTAATTGTGACAAAGAAAAAACATCACAACTCACTAGTCACCTTAATGATAATCATAAATGATTCATATCCCCTCGAATCACAATTAGTAAACGATGCTGAATATGAGTTGTTCTCTGACTTGAAAGCATAGGCCGATTTATGGTATTAAGATATTAATACTAATGTTTACATAGAAAAACTTATACTCCTCTGTTTCTAAATAAATATCATTCTACCATATTTTTTTATCTCTTTCTTATCCTTTTAATTAACCAATAAATGTTTTTGAAAATTATATCTATTTAAATAATTCTAAAGGGTATACTAGTATATTTGTTTATTTTCTTAATATACATAAATTATGTCTAAATGACATTTATATTGAAACGGAGGAAGTAGTTTCTGTTAAAAAATAAGTACTCAATCTGTGATTAACTTTTAATTTGTGATTCTAAATACATTAATTTGTGATTAACTATTTTCTGTAATTTTTAGATAGTTAAATTGTATTAATTATATTTTTTAGAAAAAATTACAATTTACCATTAATACCTAATAAAAATAACAATATAAAATCTACATGTTCTGCTAGTCAGCTAAGCTAAAGTAATTATTTTAAAACATCTTCTATATTAAAAGAGAATTACCAAATTTATCTAATATATAGAAGTCATGTTGGGTCATTAATTATTTAATTTGACATATTTGATTGTTATATTAACCAGTCAAATATATATTATTTTCAAAATATCTTAATAATTAATAAATATATTAATAATAAATAAATTTAAATATAATAAAATCTGTTGAAAAAGTTAACAAGATCTTACCAAAAAAATAGTTATTTTTATAAAATAACTATTTCTTTATTTCGTTATTAGATATAATTATAATTATAATTAAATTAAAATATAGATTATAAACTTAAAAATTTTCTTTATATATTTATAAAATAAAAATATAGCCGCATGAATGTGCGGATGAAACTCTAATAGATATTTTAAAACACATGGAGTATTTGAGAATGCTATATGTTTTCATTCTTCAGTTACAAACTAACCGTATAAAAAATACATAATGAAAAACGTAAATCCTATCTTCCTAGTTCCTATAATTACACTCTTTTTGTTTGCGTACTTTCAAAAGACAACTCGTAACATACCAAGACAAACTTCAATTAAAGCCTTTTCAGAAAATGTCTTCCTCTACTATAATCGATTAAAGCCACTTCCCCCCTTTCACACTAGCCTAGAGAAAAAGAATCTAAACCCCTTCTCTCAGATTCACTCACCACTTCTTCTTCTTCTTCACCATTTCAAATTCTGAGAATAAAAATCCTCAAGAAAAGACATCTCTGTCACACTTCTTCACCTACCTGCTACTACTGGTTAGTGCCTCTTCTCTGTCTTCCTCTTTCATTCTCTGATATTCTTTTGGGTCCCATTTTTAGAGCTTAAAGTCTCTGTTTTTAATTTGTCAATCTTTATTGCCCTAGTCAAGTTTTTAATACTAAATGTTAATTTCATAACTTATTGTGGGTCCAAAGTTGAGACCTTTAGCTTCCCAAACATTTCAAGATTAGATTTTTAAATTTTTTTTTCTCTCATCTCAGGAAATTGAAACAGAGGTTTTGGAGTTTGGAATGATGTTGAGATGAAAACAGAGATGTTTCTTCGTGCTCTGTTTCTGTCTCTCTCTCTATGCCTTCTCCACCTCGTGGCTTCAGAGATTCAGCTCGGTTCCAAGCTCGTGGTTGGTGAAAACACCTTGTGGGTATCTAAAAATGATGACTTTGCGTTAGGGTTTTTCAATGTTCCTGATTTACCTAACCGGTTTAGCATCGGTATCCGGTTTAACGCCCAGTCCATACCTTCTGATGAAAGGAGAGTCGTGTGGGTTGCTGGAGCAGGTGTTTCGGTTTCAGACAACACCTCTTACTTCGAGCTGAGTCCTGATGGAGATTTGGTTTTGTTTGATTCTTCTTTGGGTGTACCGGTTTGGAGTAGTAAAACGAACCGGTTCTCTGTTTCCTCTGCTTTGCTACGTGATGATGGTAACCTTGTTCTGTTGAGAGATAAGGATGAGATTGTTTGGGAAAGCTTTGATACTCCTGCTGATACTTTACTTCCGAACCAAAAGCTGAAGGCTTTTGAGATGCTTAGAGCTGCTAGTGAGAGTTCTAGGTCTAGTTATTACAGTCTTCACATGGAGGAGAGGTTAGAGCTGAGGTGGGAGAGTAACATCACTTTCTGGTCAAGTGGTAACGAACCTGTGAAGAACAAGGATAAGAAGATTGGTGCTGTTCTTACTCCAGAGGGAGCTCTCTCTCTTGTGGAGCAAGACCTGATGAAACCTGTTTGGTCTGTTTTTGGAGAAGATCATAACGACACTGTGAAGTTCAGGTTTCTCAGGCTTGACAGGGATGGTAATCTCAGAATGTACTCGTTCCAAGAGGCTTCAAGGACTTGGAGACCTGTCTGGCAAGCTGTTGAGAATCAGTGTTCTGTCTTTGCAACCTGTGGATCGCAAGTTTGTTCCTTTAACGGCTCTGGATACTCTGAATGCAGCTGCCCTTATAACACCTTTGCGTCAGTCTCTAACACCAAGTGCTTGGCTCCTTACCAGAAGCTAGGGTGCAAGGGTGGTTTCAGCATGGTGATGTTCAAGAACATGGAGTTGTATGGGATTTATCCGGCTAATGATTCTGTTTTCTCTCCGGTTAGCTCTCAGAGATGCACGAAGATGTGTTTGGAGGATGATGCTTGCACTGCAGTCACTTACAAGAATGATGGGAGTCCTCAGTGTGTAATGAAGCTGACTAGATATGTTAGTGGCTACTCTGATCCGTCTCTGAGTTCGGTATCGTATGTTAAAACATGTTCAGACCCAATAGCTGTTGATCCAAAGGCTTCAAAGGGGGAAGTAGTTACTGTAACAAAGTCACATAGTGTTTGTATTCCTTGTCTTGTCGGCGCAACTTCCACTATACTAGTTCTGTTTCTCGCTTTCCAGGTTGCTGTCCTTGTGTACATCTATAGGAGGAAGAAGAAGGAAGCTATGAAGAGAGCTGATTGGTTCTCTAAGGCGAGAAACCCAAAGGGAGTGGTGATATTCTCTGTAGATGAGATTAAGGAGATGACGAATGACTTTGAGGATAACATAGGACCACAGATGTTCAAGGGAGTTATGTCTGAGAATGAACTTGTTGTGGTTAAAGAAATGGAAACGACGCTAACAGAAGAGAGGAAGTTTAGAAGTTCTGCAGCAAAGATAGGAACAATGCATCACAAGAACTTAGCAAAGCTTGAAGGCTATTGCTGTGAACGAGGCAAGAGGTTTCTTGTTTATGAATACACTAAGAATGGGACTATACTTGACCACCAAGCTAAGAAACTCACTTGGAGACAAAGAGCAGACACATTGTTAAGCGTGGCGAAAGCTCTCTTCTATCTCCACTCAGAGTGCAGAGAGTTTGTTAGTCATGGGAGCTTAAACTGTGGTAACATTCTCCTCGGTGAGGATTTGGAAGCTAAGTTAACAGAATATGGATTTGGCTCATGTGCTGCTGATAAAGACGTTGAAGATTTTGGGAAAATGGTTTTAACTTTGGTAACTGGTAGGTATGAAGAGGAAGGAGTGGTAGTGAGTGAATGGGTGTATAGAGAATGGATTGAAGGGAGGGGAGAAACCGTTGTGGACAGAACTTTAGAAGGTGGTTTTGATGTAGAGGAGCTTGAGAGGGTTTTGAGAATCTCTTTCTGGTGTGTTCAGGCTGATGAACGGTTAAGACCATCAATGGGGGAAGTGGTTAAGGTTTTGGAAGGTACATTGTCTGTTGATCCACCACCACCGCCTTTTGTTTGTGGAAGATCATCGGCTACTAACTCATCAGAGTCTTCTGGTCAGTCTTTGTATGAGTCTGTAAGAGAGTGAAGTTAAGTGTTGTATAGTCTTGAGGATCTGATTTAACAACAAGTTGTAGTGAAGAAGGCTGATGATTGTTGTTTCTTTCTATCAAGTCTCCTTCATTAATTAGCAACATTTTCACCATATGATAATCAAATGACTCAACCTCTGAGAAAGTTTAATGAAGCTATTGAAAAAGGGTCTTGTTAGTTTACTTACTCATCATGTGCGTCACGCATAGAAGTAAGTCTTTTACTCTCTTTTTTTGTACAAGTGTCTGTAATGGTGGAGCAGGACTAGGATGGGGACCAGAACCATTATTAGTAGGCTTGCACGAACTTTGGTTTCACTACAATCTGACCGACTTTGAGCCCACACGAGTGAGCCTGAGCCTGATAGCGATGTATGAGAGGTGTTGAGAGGTTTTCTTTCAAGATGGAAGGACATCATGACACATGGAGCTTCTGTTTAAAAGTCTCAAGCTAGTTCTTTTGCTGTCTCTTTCTTTTGTACTTTTTTTTTCTCTGCTTTTTCAAATGTGAGGTAGGCTTGTGGATTATGGTAAATTTTGGGCCTCGTAATTGGGCTAACATTGGGTCTCTGATAGACTTAACATGTGATTGCCATTCTGACATGTTCTCAACATCGGAACTTGGTTAACTATTTAAACTTTTTTTTTAACTATTTAATTTTTAACTTAAGAGTGGTTCCCGAAAAGCTTCGTCTTCGATAAAAAATTAAAAATCGAAGTTTAGGAGTTACCGTTCTAACGTATTATCAAACTTGGCTAAGTTTGTGTCTCAATCTTTTCGTTGCTTTGTATGCTTATTAGAGCTGCACGTCATTCATCCGAGGTTGCTTTTATCTTTGCAATCGACTGAGAGTAGTGAGTGAAATATGTTGTATTCCAAAAAAAAAACAGAACAAATACTTTTTGTCCAAACAAGATATATCCAACAATCATCCCTCGTGGTAGGACATCATACATATATATTTGGGAATATTATTCATTAAGCGTGTATTGTGTACAAGATTTAAATACAACTGAAATTTATAGCTAATAAGTAACTAAACCGACATATATCACCGTTAAGCTCTTAATGAATCTGATATATTTATTTATATATAAAAAATCATCCACATCATATGAAAAAAAGTATTTTATAAATAGTTGCGGTACATAATTTTCAGGGTTTTCACCAAAACTTTGAGAGAACTTGGTTGAATATATAACCTTATCTGACTTAACCTATACATCAAGATTTTGATGATTTTCCAGGGTGTAGTCTCTGGACGTTTCAGATCTGCATTTTCGGATATAAATGAAGAGCCAGCCTAGGTTTCACAGATGCTACAAGAGGCTTGGCCATAAACAAGTTGCTCTCCGCTGGAACGAGCTCTATTTGGCTTGTACCTGGAGGAAGAGTCCATTCGAACCCCTGGAGAAGCCTTGCTAATAACATGATGGTCATAGATGCCCCAATCTTAGTTCCTGCGCAGGCACGTCGTCCAGTGCTAAATACCACGAACCTCATATCCGGTTCCATCAGAGTCACTCCCATTGAGTCTCCAGCACGGTCATAAAGATGTCTTTCTGGCTTGAATGCCTCAGGCTCGTCCCATATCTTAGGGTTCCTACCAAGTCCTAAACGGCTCACAAGAATTTGGCTGCCTGTCATTGCAATTTAACACTTAATGACATATGCATGGACGAAGCTGCTTCATTAGCTATGGGTGCAAGTGCACCCACTATTTAAAAAAAAAATGTTTTTAACAACAATTGTTTAAAGTTGTACAGAGACTCAGGCAAACTTCATCTATGCACCCTATTGTTTTTTTTTTCAGCTTACCTTCTAGTTTCATGAATTTGTTGTTGTGTCCTTCTATTCTTATATTTTTATTTAAATAGATCCCCAGTAATAATATATTCTAGCTTTGCACCTAGTCCTAGTCATATGATGTATGTAAATATATGATTGTGTCCTTCTGTTTTTATATCTACACTATTAAACATAATCCTTCATAGTATTTTGTCTTTGATTTTGTAAAATAATTATAATGTCACGTCACTTATATATTTATGCATATCATATCAACCAAACAATGAATTTAGGAAATATTTCAAAATTACAAATCAAATCATCTATAATCTCTCTCTCTTTCATCATTTCCTTTCCAAACTTACCATCATATCTATTATCCTGAAAGCTATTTACAACAATTTCCTAAAAATGTACTCACTATAACTTTTTATATAATAATTTCTTGAGATTTTTTTTGTAGTTTAGAAATCCGTGATAAACATTAAACTAACACTATTCATATTTTTACTAAAACAAAGAATGCAAAAAATTATTAAACTTAAAATGTTTGAAATTGAAAATTCAGGACATAAATTGATATTATAAATACATTAGAAATACCAGAACATGTAAACAAATATCTTAACAAACAATCTATTAATGTGTATAAAGTCCTTTATCTTAATATATCATTTTTTGTGGAATTTGTCAGAAAAATTATATTCCTTAGCAAAATATTGTCAAATATATTTTTTATCATTAAAAATTACATCCAGTTTTAAAACATTTAAAATCATTCAAAAAGGGAGGATGAGTCAAAATAGAAAAATTCAACTATATATTTGATTCTCATATTTTATATAGAATTTTAGATAAATTTAGAAATTAATAATATTAAACTTATATATTTTAACATATGCTATATATACGGATCGTCGGGTCTATATCTTTAGCTACGGGTTTGGATAGGATATCAAAACACTGCTTAAAACTGAAAAAAGATAATAGAACAACTTTATAATTATTTGTTTTCTAATAAAAAGTTATAAATTTATGTATATTTTATCAAAATGATCAAAAAAATGTATGCATTTTGAAAGCGCGGATATGTTTGTTTTTAATAACAGGTAATTTTATTAAAATATGGTCCAAGTAATTATATGTTCGACCTTTGTTCCTGGTCATATGATCTATGTAAATATACCTTTGCACCTATTTTCTTGTTTTCTTGTGGGACTTGGGGAATCACCTATTGCACCTATTGCTAGGATGTTAGAATGCTTGTTTTCTATCCACGCATACATGTCCTCGACCTAAGAAATGTTTTTTCTCTTTACTGCTGATGTTGTTGTTATTGTTACCTTTGGGGACGAAATAACCAGCTAGAGTAGTATCTTCTATGGCTCCATGAGGAGGCATGAACGCATTAGCAGGGCGAAGTCGGAAAGATTCGCGGCTACAAGCTTTGATGTAGTTGAGTTGTGGTATGTCTGATTCTTGCACAAGTCTTTCTTTACCAACCACCATGTCCAACTCATTTGTAGCTTTCTCAATAATCTCATGATGATTCAACATCTCGGCTACCGTCCACTCCACGTTATTCATCGTATTGTCAATTGCTGCGACATTGATATTCTACATATAGCATCATAATAAATGCATGAGATTAATTAATCAACTAAACAATTTTTTTTAATAATTTTTAACAATGCAAAATGTGTGAACATCAATAACCTTGCATTGAGCCCTAATCTCATCAAGTGTGAATAGAGGCATTCCTTGGTCATCCTTAAGCATGATAAGAGTATCGAGCCAATCTTCCTCGGTCTCTTTTCCACCTTTATTCCTCCACAAATGCATTCTCTCTTGGATGATGGGATCGTTGCACCTGTTGATAGTATCAACCGCTTCTCTTAGCTTCGCCTCTTCTCCATCAATGTTCCATCCCCTAAGGCAAGATATATAATTCGATATGTTAGAGCTGTAAAAACAATCAATAGCTTGGTATATTGCGTCCATGTGCTCTCTTTCTTTCCGTCCGAGACCACCGTCTTCCGTCGGTTCTTCAAAATGCCTCTGGCCAAACATCATCCTCATCATCACGGCGTGGGAATAAGTTAATGCGACATCCCTCACATTAACCGACTTAGTCATTGACTCTAATGGGATTAGATTATAGACATACGTCACGATATTATCTGCTTCTAACGTTCTATCACCAAGCGTTTTGCTCAACGTTGAAGAAGACATTAGTTTAGTGACCATCACTTTCTTCATTAGCTTCCAACTCTCTCCATAGGAAGAGAAAATAATGTCCTTGTAACCATGGCTTATGAGATTACTTGAGTAGGAGTCAGCTCTGTCGGCAAGAGCCTCGTCTTTTTCCCTAAGCACTTCTCGGGCTATCTCGCTTGATGTTACGGTGATGACGTGGACGCCAGCGAAGCGGAAGCAAGCTATCTCCGTTTGCATGTTTTTCATGACGCGGTGTATCCACAAGTGAGTTGGCCGGTTCATGACCATTTGGAACAAGTTCCCAATGATTGGCCATCCCGTTGGGCCTGGAGGAAGCTGAGCACCTTTTGGTTTTCTCAAGTAACGTAGAGCAAGAGACATGACCAACGCAACGGAAAATAGAGCAAGAGTGAAACAATATGGATTGGTAACATTCATGTTCATATGTTTTTTTAAGAAACTGAGAATTCCAAAGTCTATGAATGCTCTGTATTTTATGTGTGTTACTAATATGAACGTAAGACATGCATATTTATAGATGCAAGAGTCTAATGAGAAAAACCGACAAGGACATATGCTTTTTGGTTTAGGTTTCGGTTCAATCAGTTTACATGGTGATTCAGATCGATCTGGCTACCCTCTAGCATTAAGCAAAAAAACATTTCAATTTCGAATCAGATAGTATGGTATCCAATTTACGTTGTAGCATGAAGTGCATTTCTCTTAAAATCGACCGGATCAATCGATAGGACATACAAAGGAAAACAACAAAAACATGGTGTGACTAATTTTTTTTTCGAAAAACAAATTAGAAACATGATCCGCCCAAAATTACCAACTACGATCTTAGGGTAATTTTTTGGTCTTTACTAAATAAGTTTTAAATCCTGACAGTTTTTGTTCTATGTTATATTATTATTATTATCATCAGAAAAAAGTATTTAAGCGTATTACAAATGATAATCAATCAACAATTCAAACTACTTATAATTCATACAACGACAATTAAGACTATGGTGGATATCTCTATGAACAATAGCTTTACGGTGCACGTTTTTCACGACATGGATCTACAATGAATGGTTGTGCCTGCACCACATCCATGATATAGTACAGTTCAAAAACAAAACACATTCATGATAGAAAAATCTCCACATCCCTTCAAACCAAACAAGGGCCGATTTTACTTGCAGAGTTTTGAACATCTATTAAGTTTCGCATCCATTAATATTCTAGAAACTGTAACTCTTGTAATACTCCAATTTACTGCAAAAACTTAAATTCTTTACCATTGGATAAATATGTTGAATAGAATTTTTTTTTTTGAATTTTTATGTTTTTCCAAGAAAAAGCCTTAAATTTGTGTTCATGTTTTATAAAATCGGAAGTAGATGTAATAAAACTTAGCATACGAGTAACATGAGTATTTCTAAAAAAGAACAGGAGTATTTCTAAATCTGTAATATTTATCATGATAGCAAATGCTCTACCTTATTTTAGGCTGTCGCATTCAGAACCGTACCTAGATATTTATCTACTTTGGCAATAATTTTTTGGGTAAACGATCATTGACAATAAAATAGGACAATTATCTCAAATAGCCATTTTTTAAGTTTTGTCACAAAATAATTCCTTTTTAATAAAATCATATTATGTATACATATATTTCATGGTTAACTTCATTTTAAAAATTTATAAATGTTTCTTTTTTATTATATATGTTATTTTGGAAAAAAATAAAAATGAAACTAAACAAAAATTTAATAGTAGTATTTTAATAGAATATGTTAATTATTTAATAATAATATTTAAATATAATATCTTTAATTTAAATTAACTATTGTAAGAACTAATGTGAATGTGATACATAAACATAACTTATTAAATAATATTATAGAAACATTATAAGTCCATATCTAAAAACCAGTTCAGAGTTTTTTTTTTTTTTGCTAAATCAAACCAGTTCAGTAATTGTCAAAGTCAATATAGGCGTTCATTAGTTGTCAACTCCTAACCAAAGCTTTTTCGTTTTTTTTCCAAAAAATTATCACATCCATAAATCAAACTGAAATAGGCTACAAGCCTACAAGCAGATCGAGGATAATGTGAAGGTGTAATAAAGGTAATGCCCCTTTAAAGAGGGGACATATTTCATGTGACTTTTTTGCAATGTTTAAGAAATGTCTAATAGTAGATAATTAGTGTTTAGGCAAGTGCCTAGATAATGCATAGACTACATTTAAAAAAAAAAAAGATCATCTCGAAAAATTGCTAATGACCGATTTGTCGTATAGTCAGAATACCTTTAATACGATGTAAACATGAATATGATCTTTTTTTTTGCTTTACAACCCAAATTACATACACATAACGAATGAAAAATAATAATACGCACTAGCTAGCCTTTACGTATGTTAGTTTAGTCATTTTGCGAGAGTTGTTTTTTGATCATTGGAACAGTTTAATGAGGTTGAGGTGCTTTTTCTTTCTTGAATAGAATGACAGTGGCTCCTCTCGGTCGGCTCATACTTGGTGTTTCCTCCACAGTGTTTTGGTCTATCTGGCTCATTACTGGCCATAAACGAAGTATCATATGCCATCAATATGTGAATTCCATTAAAAATGGGTAGAGTTTGTAAAACTTACAATAGGGTATGATTCTAAATATAAAAAACAAGGCAAAGCATAGGATTCAATGAGAGACTCGATATGGATTACGCATGAGTTAACCAGTGTTGCATAAGGCCATGACTCTGTTTTTGATTTCTCATGGACAGAACAGCATCCCTTATGAACCTGTCTAACAGCTTGAAAGCGATGGCCGGAGGAGACGAGATGTTAGACCATGTTTATTGCAGTAGCTTAAATGAGTTCCTTAGTGTATTTTGTAATTAAAAGAAAAGAAAAAATGAAAAAAAAGTGAAGGGGTGTACCTTCATTAAGCTCCAAGGAACGTTCCTTCTATCTCTCTCCCTTGCTTTTTCATGTTCTGTTTCTATCTCTCTCTTTCTGTTTCTCTTCTCTTTGGCCATTTAATTTTCTTTTCATTATGGTCCCATTTAAGAGATCTTTAAAAGATTTTAGCAATAAACATGATCTATAGTTAGCAAAACAAAAACCGTTTATCTCTTGGAACCTGATGAAACCCCCTTCTAAGGAGAGCAAGAATACACAACATATATGATGGTAAAGTAAAAAGAACCCTAACAAAACACAAAGAACCTTACTTGTTTGTCACCACAATGAGTAAGCACAATTTGTACATGCATCTCGGATTTTGTAAACAACTAACAAAGAGGCAAAAAAATCCTCGCACCCTAACAACATAATATTAGAGCAAAAGTTGATAAGAAATGGTTCGAGATGGCCCAAGAGTCATCAAATAGTATATCAGGTGTTAAAATCTCACATTAAAAAAATATGTGAACGAATTTATTTATTGTGTAACTAATTTGGCTAATGTGGAATTGATCTCTGTCTAGTAATTTGCTGTTCACTTACGTTGATACTTTGCGGTTAAAAAAGTAAATCAATATACTATATAAATGCTAATATAATCTTGGTGCATGGAGAAGATTAGTAACATTCAAGCTGTGTATCAGCACATAAGTGTTTTTATTAGAGATAATATATCCTATATCAGAAACTCAATGTAACCTTAAATAATATATAAATAATTAGGATCAATCTATTAATTATTAATTGGTTTTAAATTGGAAATCCATAATAAACTCGAATTTAATATGGTATCAGAGCTTAGATCCTAAAAACTCTAAAACCTTTAATTAATTAATCAATCCTTATGGTCGGATATAGATATCATGTTTAACCTTTTGACTAGATATAATTGTTGTACTTAACTCATTTGAATGAGTATAAGTATCTTAAAGTTCTGAGATTTTTAATCGATAAAGACCATCATCTTGAAAAGAAGTATTAGAGATAATATATCTCACATCAAAAATTCAATGATGCCTTAAATAATATAGAAAGAATTATGGTTAATCTACTAATCATCATTTTTTTTTAAATTGAAAATCCATAATAAATTCGAATCTAAAATGAAAATTTGAAGCATTTTTTTCTGTGCTTTAAGGCTTCGAACTGAGAAAAGCCACCCAATCTCAGTGGTCTATGTTAAGGAATGAAGAACTTTGATAGATAGCTTTTTTTTTTGATAGATAGTTTGTTTTTTTCTTTGTCGACAAGTGCTACAATACCAAATTAGAAAGTGTAGGTCATATATGTTCTGTCCGGGTTCTTATAGGCTACTCAATAAAGTAAGTAAAATAGAGATTTTGAGTAAATTACAAAAGGATCTAAACGACGTTGGGTAGGTGAGGTGTTTTCTAATTACAACACGTGAGGTTTCGTAAGAGCATCTTCATCCAAGAGTTCAAACAAAGAAGTAGTACTGTAGTAGGAAAAAGATTTACATACAAGTTCTCATTTATAAACTTTGAGATTCTCATTAGAAACTCTCTAGACACTTTAAAACTATAAATGAGTTTCATCTTTATAAGATTTAAAATCTAGTTACTTAAAAACACCATTAAAATAATAATTCTTTTTGTTATAGATACTCAATTTGAAGTTTTAACTGTTGTTGAGATTGTTCTAAGACCATGAATAATGAGGTTGTTGAATCAAGAATTCAACATAAATTAATACAAGTTAAAAAGTTTCAACTAGTTGAATATCAAATGCATGGGTCCTATCGAGACAAGTGTTGAAACGTGAGAGCAAAAAATGAAGAGAGAGTGAGTCCACACGCCAAATATAAAATAAATGGGTCCTCAAGAGATAATTGTATTGGTTATCAAAGTTTTTAAAAAAAATTATTCCTTCGAATTATTAAACCTCAATTATTTGCAATAATTTACTTTTAATGATTTACTAGAATCGGACCCGCGCGCCCGCGCGGGTGAAAGACATACTTATGTTCTTGTTAAACATTTTAGAATAGTCATATTTTATGTTTTAAACATTTTAAAAACCATCAACTTATTTTTCATGTTTAACTACTGGATATATTTATTAAAAAGATTGTTTTTTTCTTCGACTAAGTGTGTGTTCTTTGCTCATTTTATTTTGATAAATAAAACTCTAGGAGGTAGCATATTTTAGTTTTAAGTATACATTCTATTATATTAAATCTGTAAATGGGTATTTAGATTTGAAATCTATATATAAAGATCAAATTTTATTTTTGAGCTACTAAATTAGTAAAAAAAAATTTATATCAAGATCAAATCTTAGAAATTGAGTGCCTAGATGAGTAAAAGTTGTAATCTTAGACATCTTCTTTTCAGCGAAGAATGATTTGGTTATCATGCAATAGAGATGGAGTATAAAAAGTTTGGTTCGGAAAGGATATGTTAAATAATATATTCTAACAAAATATTTTGTTAGTTGTGATTAGAACGAATAGAAAAGAGAATATA